AGCCACGCTCCATCCTCCCCCCCGCCTTCTCTGGGTCCAGCCCCACTCCACCCCCACCCCCGCCACTCTGGGTCTGGCCCTGCTCAACTTCCCCCCAAGCTGCTCCAGGTCTGGCCCTGCTCCACCCCACTCCCTGCCGCGCCGGGTCTGCCCCAGTCTACCCCCACTGCCTGCCGCTCTGCGTCCAGCCTCACTCCACCCTCCTGCTCCACATCCACCTGGCCTGCATCCACCTCTCTCCCTGTCCACCACCTCTCCCTCCCTGCTGGCTGTTCTGGGGGTGGCAGGGCCGGGTGGCAGGGAGGCGCCGCCATCGTGACCTCCCCACCCACCCCTTCACCCTCAGGCGGGGAGGCAACCCCACTGCTTGGGCAGGCAGGGCGTATTCGTCACCACTACAAACTTCCCTGGCAACTTGGGCATGTACAACCCAGGCCGTGCAGCCAATCACCACCCACCTTCTTGGTGGCACATGCACAGTTGCCCCCGTGTGACAGACAGACAGACTAAACCTTTTATTATATTAGAATTGCTTGGGCACACGGGGATGAAATCAGGAAGGCCAGAGCGCAATTGGAGTTGCAGCTATCAAGGGCCATGAAGGGCAACAAGAAATGTTTCTACAAGTATGTCAGCAACAAGAGGAAGACCAGAGAAAGTGTGGGTCCCTTACTGAATGGGGGAGGAAACCTAGTGACAGAAGATGTGGAAAAGTGTTCAATGCCTTTTTCACCTCAGTCTTCACAGGCAAGGTCAGCTCCCAGACTACTGCACTGGGCAGCCTAGTTTCGGGAGGTGAGCAGCCCTCAGTGGTGACAGAACAGGTTAGGGACTATTTAGAAAAGCTGGACATGCACAAGTCCACAGGGTTGGATGGGATGCACCTGAGGGAGTTGGCTGAAGTGATTGCAGAGCTGCTGGCCATTATCTTTGAAAACTCATGGCAATTGGAGGAGGTCCTGGACAACTGGAAAAGGGCAAATATAGTGCCCATCTTTAAGAAAGGGAAAAAGGAGGATCCAGGGAACTACAGACCAATCAGCCTCAACTCAGTTCCTGGAAAAATCATGGATCAGATCCTCCATTTCTAAGCATCTGGAGGAGAAGAAGGTGATAAGGAACAGTCAGCATGGATTCACCAGGGGCCAGGTATGCCTGACCAACCTGATTGCCTTCTGTGATGAGGTGACTAGCTCTGTGGATGTGGCGATACCAGTGGTTGTGGTGTACCTTGATTGTAGCAAGGCTTTTGATACAGTCTCCCACAACAATTTTGCAGGCATGCTAAGGAAGCGGGCTGAATGAATGGACTGTAAAGTGGACAGAAAACTGGTTGGAGCCTCAGGCTCAGAGGGTAGTAATCAGCAACTCTGTGTCCAGCTGACGGCATCCAACTAGACATTTATAGGGGTCTTCCTGCAATCAATGGTTCAGTGTCTACATGGCAGCCAGTATCAAGTGGAGTGCCCCAGGGGTCAGTCCTAGGACCAGTTTTGTTCAATATCTTCATCAATGACTTGGAAGATGGCATAGGGTACAACCCCAGAAAGTTTACAGATGGCACCAAGCTGGGGGGAGTAGCAGATACACTGGAGGGTAGGGCTAGGATTCAGAGAGACCACGACAAATGGGACAAACTGGGCCAAAAGAAATGTCATGAGGTTCAAAAAGGACAAGTACAAAGTCCTGCACTTGGGACAGAACAATCCCACACATGGCTACAGTCTTGGGACTAAAGGGCTAAGCAGCTCTGCAGAAAAAGACCTGGGGGTTACAGTGGACAATAAGGTGGATATGAGCTAGCAGTGTGCCTGGGTTGCCAGGAAGGCTAATGGCATACGGGGCTGTTATTAGCTGAGAGTGTTGCCAGCAGATCAAAGTGATTCTTCCCCTCTGTTCAGCACTGGTGAGGCCACATCTGGAGTACTGTGTCCAGTTTTGGGCCCCCCACTACAGAAGGATGTGGACACATTGGAGAACATCCAGTGGAGGGCAACAAAAATGATGAGTGGACTGGGATGAGGAGAGTCTGAGGGAACTAGGCTTATGTAGCCTGTAGAAGAGAAGACTGAGAGGAGAAGTTTGAGTCCGCAGGGGACAGCGCTGCCTGTTCTCGGTGGTGGCAGATGACAGAACAAGGCGCAACGGGCTCAAGCTGCAGCGAGGGTGGCGAAGCACCGGAAGAGGACACCCAGGGAGGTGGAGGAATCTCCATCCTTGGACGTTTTTAAGGCCCTGCTTGATAAAGCCTTGGCTGGGATGATCTAGCCGGGGACAGTCCTGCTTTGAGCAGGGGCTGGGCTAGACTAGATGACCTCCTGAGGTCCCTTCCAGCCCTTGTTTTCTGGGAGTCGAGGATGATCCCGTGCTCCTTCCCTCCGGCTCTGCCCACCCCCGCCGGGCGAGAGCGCCGGGGCGGGGGCCGGGGCGGGGCGGCGCGGC